AGACCAGGCTGGCCTCGAACTCACAGAGATCCGCCTGCCTCTGCCTCCCGAGTGCTGGGATTAAAGGCGTGCGCCACCACCGCCCGGCCCGGAATAATGCATTTGTACACTGGTTTAATAAAATGCTGACTGGCCGGTAGCCAGGCAGGAAGTATAGGCAGGATAAGAGAGAGAAGAATTCTGGGTAGAAGAAGGCTGAGTCAGGAGATGCCAGCCTGCTGTCCAGGGAGCAGCATGTAATGGCACACAGGTAAAGCCACAGAACACGTGGAGACATATGGATTAACAGAAATGGGCTGAGTTTAAGTGTAAGAGCTAGTCAGTAATTAGCCTGAGCTCATGGCTGAGCAGTTTTGGTTAATATAAGCCTCTGTGTGTTTACTTGGGTCTGAGCAGCTGCAGGACCAGGTGGAACATAAGAATTTATAAGTGGCTGTGGGACCTTGGTGCTGGGCGAGCATAGAAAAGTTTCAGATACAAATCTATTATCTACCTACCTATCTACCTATCTATCTATCTATCTATCTATCTATCTATCTATCTATCTACTCATCCATCCATCATCCATCCATCATCCATCCATCCATCCATCCATCCATCCATCCATCCATCCATCCATCCATCCATCCATCATCCATCCATGTCCCTCTATGTCTCCTTTGTAATTTTATAGACATAGATTTGTATTGGGAGTTTTTTATCCAAGTATCTTAATTTCATTTTCTTTTTGGTTGAATGATTTCTCTTTAAAAGAGAAGAATGAATAAAAGATGAATTTCAAAAGTTTAAAATCAAAAGAAAAAAGAAAGCATGCTGAACAAGCCACAGGGAGCAATCCAGTACACAGCACTCCTCCATGGCCTCTGCATCAGCTCCTGCCTCCAGTTTCCAGCAATGCTTGATTCCCTGTCCTAACTTCTTCAGGGATGGATGCCAATTTGGAAGTGTAAGCCAAATAAGTCTCCCCCTGCAAAAAAATAAAAAAAATAAAATAAAAAAAATAAAAAACCTTGCTTTTGGTCATGGTGTTCCATCACAGCAATAATAACCCTGACAAGGACACCATGTTTTCCTTGGTCCCAACTTCACACGGGCTTTGCTGACCAAACTCTTCAAATTTCACGTCTTTCCAGTGTACTTTTGGTTCCCGATTCTCTCTATAAACTTGGCCAATCCAGAAACAGCCATGCCACCTCCCAAGTGCTGGAATGTCTTGAAATGCCCTCTGCTATTACTTTTCAACTTCACACTCTTAGGCCAGGAACAGCATGTAGATATGTTCTTTGCCAGAATGTAACACGCCTGGCGTCTAGTCTAGTTCAAAGTAGACTCCACCCTCCCATTTGAAAGCTCCTGAGCCTGACCTTCACCCTCTGCATTCCTGTAGGCATTCTGTTCTTCTGAGCCTCTGCCCTAACTGTCCATGAATCTCTGTGAAGTTATTCTAGGGCTCCCCCAGTCCACATGCCCAAACTTTTCGGATTTCTCCCACAAAAACTTCTGAACCATATTGTCAACCACAGCAACAGCCCCACTTCTCTGACATAATGTGGGCTTTTTTTTTGTTTTGTTTTCTTTACATCACTGTGACCAAATACCAAAAAGAAGTAATAAAATGTAGGAAGAGTTTATTTTGCTCATCTTTTCAGAGGTTCCAGTCCACAGTTGATGGTGATATTGATTCTGAGCCCATGGTGCTTCAGAATATCATGGCAATGGGAACATGCGATGATTTATTTCTTCCTGATTTTCCCACAAGCACTTAAAATAGCACCTCAAGTTCAGAACCAAGTGTTTAATCCATGAACCTGTGGGGGAACATTTGGTATTTAACCCTAACACCAAGGTGATTAACTGATCTCACATGATAGGACTGTTATTCTCATGTTGTTCAGACACAGGATAAAATGGAAAAGTAGGCATTTGCTAAGAACTCTGTCCATATTCCCCACACAACTGACAGATATAAACAAAATAAAGTACTTCCTGCCACTGGGTCACACCTGTTAGGATTCTGTACATTTAGTCTATGATACAAGTGGATATTGACTACATTGCAAAAATGAATTTAAATGTTCTCATCGTAGGGATTTAGAAAATGCATATAAAAATATTCATTTGAGCATTTTTAGAGTAAAGTGAGTAAATTCTTAGGAAAGTTACAGTGTATTCATTGTTCCATGTTTTAACAGACACAAAGGAGACATGATTTTAGTTCATGAAAAGCCTAAAGTTTTGACAGGAGAGAAAATGATAATGGCATTTGACAATACTATATAATTATATGAAGGGTGGTGTGACCATTGGATGCCCCTAAGTGAATTATCCTCTTGAGCAATGCTAAATGGTGTAAGAGTTAGGAACTGGGTTTGATTCAGCCTTGGTATAGCAGGAGCAACAGCTTGAGCAGATAGACATGTGCGGCTAATAACAAAATGGGTAGACTATGGATTGCAAGGAGACTCGGTGATTAGAACTCTGGACTCATGTTTCTGAATTCATGTTGGGTATTTTGGATACATGAATTGGATCTAGATTTTTGGATAGCTTTCTTTTGGTAGCAAGACAAATTACTATAAATGTAGTGGCTAAACATCACAAATTTATGTATGGCTTCATGGTTCTCTGAGTCAGAAGTCCTGTGGGTTCAATAGGTTTTTCTGCCTTGGCCTCATAGACTAAGGCCAAGGCTTTTACAGCCAGTCTTTGGTTGAGAGCTGGCTTACAGGCTCATTTATGTTTTTGGTAGAACTGACTCCTTTGCAATTAAAGGCTATTGTCCCGTTTTTTTTTTTTTTTCTTGCTTGCTGTTGAAACCTTGTGTTTCTAAAGGCCACTTGTCTTCTTGACTTATAATTCTCCTACGTCTTCAAAACTAACAATGGTGGTTTGAGTTCTAATGTTGCCCATGGCTCCAAGCCTTCCAATTTAGATCTATGACTCTGATAATTTTGCCTTTTTCTTCCACATCTAAGACCTTACATGATGACTAACCAGATCATCAGAATTAATTTCCTAATATCCAATACTGAAAGTCACCAAACCGTATTTCTATTGGCAAAATACCTATTGACTTAAAGTAACGTGTCCCTGGGATCAGTGATTCCCTTAACTATCTCAAGACCCAGCAGGATGGTCCTCACCAAATGCCATGTTCTTGGACTTTTATAACTGTGGGTCAAACCTTTTCTCTATGAGTTCCCACCCAGTTTGTAGCATTTAGTTATAGTCACAGAAAATGGACTAAGAAAGTGACTAGAACTCAGTGAGTGAAGAGAGGCAGTGCTTGGGAAGGTCAGAGAAGGGCAGGCACAGTCATCTGTCATTAGTTTGCATTAAGCAGATACTGAGAGCCTACATGCTTTTTCACACTGCGCACTCCAAGACCGTAGTCTGACTACTGTACAGAAGGGATTATTTATCTTAAGAAATTTGGACCAAAGAACAAAATAGCATATTTCAAGTTCTGGCTATAGATTGCTGTGAAAAATTAACTTGTTATATGCGTTTATTGACTATTGTTTACAACTAAACAAAGCTGCTCTCCTTTCTATAATAAGAAGAGCTGGTAATATTGTACCTTTATTTTCCACCCTCAATATTATTATACAATAAAGAGCTGAATATATAATCTACCACTGAGAGGGTAATGAGCAGGATTCAATCACACATTTAAATGAATTAAAAAAATCTGAACCATGTCCAAGTTGTTCCATCTAAGCATCACTTAAGAATCTGTTTGTTCAGTTGAGTTTTGTCTCTGCAGCTGCCAAGACACTTCAGTTCTGCCAGCTCCATGCTCTGATTGCAAAATAAATGGTGGTCACTTAACAGTGGATGTGAAAACTCAGGGTGTTCTGTGCGAAGACCATCAATGAGCATCCTGATAATGGAAAAGCAGACACTCCCTTCTTAGGCTTCCCACTTAGCCTGAGGGCCGCTCATTTTGAGGGGGTGTTCTCACCTGCCTCAAATCTAGCAGCCTTTGGCGGGGTGTGTGTGTGTGTGCTTTTGGAAGATGGCTGCAACTTTGCTGGAGCTACATTCATAAATATTTTTGTAGTATAATAGGTTGTCAAAACAAATCTGTGTTTTCCATTTGTGTGTGCATGAGTGTGTCAGTACGCTTCTTCATCTCTCTGTCCGTCTAGTGGTAGAGCACAAATAACTTAGTTTCTTCATTGAGAATTTTTTTTGTCCTTATGATGTGCAGAAGTGACTCATGAAGAGTGGTCACAGGGATGGCCATGTGACCTATGGGAACAGTTCCATCATCTCTATTTTAGGGAATTTCAGTGATGCTCTGATGTGGCTGGGACTGTGGTTCCTCTCAATGTTTTCTAAAGCTTGGTATTCACTGTTACCCTGAACTGAAGAGGGAACACTAAGGTGGTCCTACTGACCACACAGTTGTATCTGTAGGATTGTGTCATTACACATGCATTCTACTCCACTAAGCCTCATCGCTTAACTAGTTGTGTGACCTTAGGAGAGACCCTATCTTCTGAGCCTCCAGCTTCCCCTCCTTTTTTTCTTTAGAATAAAGAAAACAATGTAGTGGTTGTGAGAATTAACCCATGATAAGACAAATAAAGCACTTATCGGAGTGTCTTTCCCAGCCAAGAGTGCTCTCAGTCACAGCCATCTTTATTATCAGTTTTCATTGGCTTATTTCATATGGATGGCACATCACGGATACTTGGCACAGCAACTATCTCTCTGGTGCATGAAAACTCAGTCCCCTAGAGAATAGCACATCAAACTCTACCATTCAGTACATACCTGCCTTTGAATTTTTCACAATATTTTTCTCTTTTCAAGTGAACCTGGAGAAAACATTTTGCTTCTTGTTACCTGAATTTGCCAGCAATTTCTAGTTTCCAAGGAGATTGTAAATGGATGTATTTGTATCTGCTGATTTGCCTCAACTTCAGGAAGGCTCCTCAGGGAATTCTTCAAAAGAAACAGATTATAATGGAAATGCTTTTCCTTGTTTCATGAGCCATAGAAATTGTGTGTGTGTGTGTGCGTGTGTGTGTGTGTGTGTGTGTGTGTGTGTGTGTGTGTGTGAGCGAGTGCGTCCTTGGTGATCTAAAAGTTATGGATAAGTGGCCAGGCAAAATGGAATAATTTGCTAATGAAAGATTTATCTCCCCATGACTGCAATTTTATATGTCCTTCTAAATTAATTTACTTATTTTTTTCTATTTAGAAAAGCATCTAGTGCAATTTGGAATTGTAATTAGGATATTCTGTACCATCTGCAGTGCTTCTATAATTCCCTAGCTCCACTCAGATTACATCATGAAGAAAGCTGGAGCTGGAGTCTGATTTTCATTCTGGAAAACCCAATAGCACCCATGCCATGTTTATCCTCAGGGAGTGTTTGATATTGGTTAATCAACAATAAAGTTTACTTCTGGCTTCCACTGGTACTTGGAGCAAAGAATTGGATTGTTGGCCAGACATTTAGTTTTCAAAGGCTCTTGATTCAAACTCTAAATGTACAGCAGTCATCTGTTTGACATTGACCTGGGCCTGTGTAATCAAATACGGCTGTTGGTATCATGAGGAGTTGTCACTGTTGACTTTTTTTAAAAAACAAATCTTATTGTTGGAAATTTAAATATAGAGTTCAATGTTGTTCTTTTTACTGACATTCTGATTTTCCACCTCCACTGCTAAGAGAACATTGTTTATTTTGCAAGCCTTGGTTCAAGTTTAACTGGTCCTTCTTTGTTCATCACGCAATCTCTTGGCGTTGAGAAGCACAGAGTGTTGTGAAAACACAAGCTTCCAAGTCAAGAAGACTGCAGCTGTGTGCTGGTTGTCTTATAGCTTTGTGGGTTCCATGAAAGTAATTCAACCTCCGGGCTTTCTCCTTTAGCATCTGCGGACAAAGGTTGCTGTGACAATCATGTGAGAATTTGTACATGAAAGACCAGCAATATGCTTTGCTCATAG